TGTCGACGAGTTCCTCAAAATGTTGAAATAGAATATCTGTGTGACCCATGTAGCTCCTAGATACACACCCAAAAGAAAAGGAAACACAGTCACACAGAAACTTGTATGTCTACGTCCGCGGCAGCGTGAGTCACAGTAGGCACAAGGGGCAACAATCCAAGTGTCCATCAGCAGAGGACTGAATGAACGCGACGTGGCCCGTCCACACACTGGAGCGGCGCTCAGCCTTAAAGCAGCGAGGCGCTGACACTCACTACGACGTGGGTGGACCCTGAACACATGACATTCAGCGAGAAGCGGGGCACTGGAGGCCACACAGCGTGTGACCCCATTCACATGAAACGTCCAGGCACGTCCACACAGGCAGGAAGTGGGTTCGTGAGCGTCAGGGACTGGGGAGGGGGAAATGGAAGCTGACTGCTAATGGGCACGGGGCTTCTTTCTGGGGTGATGAAAACGTTCTGGAATTTAAATCTGTGATGATGGCACAATGCTGAATGTACTAGAACCCCCCGAATCTGTGTGCTTTCAAAGGGTGAATTTTCTGGAATGTGAATTACACCCCCATTTTAAAAAGTGCTCTCCATTGGGAGAGAAAAAACGAGCAGCACAGGAGCCAGTGAAGGTTTCTCAACGGTCCGAAGGAGGCCTCACAACAGGTCCTCCCGGAAGTGGCCGCACCGCCTCTCCACCCCAGCCTCCTGCAAGCTCACAGTCCCGGGGAGAGAGGAGGCGAAGGCGGGGCGCGGCAGCCTGGCCACGCGCCTCGGCCCCCCAGCAAGGCCCTCTGGTTTGCAGGAGCAACGCCAGGCTTTGTGAACCCTGGTGAACGGGCGACGCCTGAGTGGGAGCCAGCTGGCCGCGTGCCCACTTCTAAACGAGGAGGACAGGGGTGGGGTCCGGCGGTCCATGTGGATGGCCCTGTCCCCACTTTCGGACATGCCTGCCACGTGTAAAAGCCGAAGACTCTGCCTTCTGGGAGCCCCAGGTCTGGTGAGAAGACAAGCAAGCAGTCCTTCTCGGGCCACTGCCGGCTTCCAAGGCGACACCGGCCTCGCCCCTCCCCGCTGCCCCTAGTCTCAGGCAGCGAGGGTGTCTCACTCGGCCCGCCCGTCTAAACCAGACACGGAGACGTCCCCTGGCCGAGGCGGGGTGCTGAGATGCAAAGGCATAGGGTAGCTACGCCCAGGGAGGGCTTTCCTTCCCAAATCAAACACAAACGTGCGGAGAGAAAGCCTCGGCACCTCTCTTCCTGCTTATCCGTGTGATGTGACGCTTCGCAGGGCACCGTCAACCACAGAAAGGCCGTGGAGGAAGCCAGGAGAGTCCCAGGAGGCAGCCACTGCCCTGAGGCCCTTAGCTGCTTCCCAGTCCTGTCAAGGGAAGGACGCCCTGTAGTGAGCCACTGTAATGCCCGTAAACATGGCCAGTGTCCCTCCTCCCTGCCCAAACTGCCCCATGACTGCCCTTAATGAGGCATTTGTCACAGGGCGTGTCTCTCCACCAGACTGGGAAGCCCTTGGAGGCAGGGGCTCTGGGGACCCCTGTCCTGTACCCCCCAGGTGCTGGCACATGGGAGGCACTCCATATTTGCCAAAAAAATGAAATCAGAGGATGGAGAAGAGAAGAGCCTGAGCCCACAGCAGGGGCGGGGAAGGGGTCAGAAGGCCCTGGACGCTGTGACAGGCTAGGAGAATTGAATGGCTGTGAGTCGGTCAAGTCAAGAAGTGTCAGGGGGACAGGGAGAAGTGCGTTCCCATGGGAGCCCCGAGGGCCCGCGTGGCAGCAGCTGGGGATGGGCCAGAGAGCGGTGGCAGCAGCGACTCAGAGAGAAAGGCCGTGGGCCCTGGGAGGGCGAACTGCGTCCTGGGCAGAGGGACTTAGGCTCAGAAGAGCAAAGCCAGACCCATGTCCTCCGCCTGCAAGACGCGGCGACTGCTGTGGGGTCTGAAACTGGCACGTAAAGGAGAGGGAGGACCAAGCGCCGGGGCTGCCTTTCCGGGGGTAACCACGCAGGAGGCGACAGGCGAAAGGCACGCGTGGAGAAGGGATGACGGCGTCACTGTTCGGTGACTCCTCAAAGCCATCGAGGCGCTGCCCATCAACAGCTGCCTACTTCACAAACACACACCACCAGATGGGACCCCCTGCCACCTTCCCAGGCAGATCTCACCTCCAGATTCAAGTTCAAGTTGACAGGGAATACACAAACCAGAAGACTGTGCTAAATTAATACCACAGGGACAGAAGCAGCAAAAAGCCAGATGGTACCAAACTCTACAGGACAAATGACCCAGTTTCTTCAACAAATGGCAAAGAGGGAGACTCTATAGATGAAAAGGGATTTAAGAGACAAACCCATGAATCACAATGTGTGGATCTTACCTAGACCCTGATTCGAACAGAAAAAAAAAAAGAAAGAAACCCTGGGTATTAAGTAATTATTAATTTATAGGTGTGCTACCACTTTTATTATAATAGTATTACTATTAAAAAGCAATGCTTATCTTTGAGAGAACATTCTGGAATATCAACACCTGAAATGTTGGTGTCTGGGGCTTGCTCCAAATGACACAGGCTGGGGAGAGCTGGGCCGGGGCCAGGCC